AAATGAAGGTCCAGGAATTGGATACCGATCAAAATGTTTCAACAAATAGATGCAGGACTAGAAGCATTCACTCATCTATGCTAAGAAATCTGGAAGAGCTACCAGGTCAGCAGATTAGAAGAGATCCATATTTGTGCCCATGCCAAGGAAAGATGAACCAACAGAATGCAAAAATTATTGACCTATTTCATTAATATCACATGCGAGTAAAATTTTTCAAAGATAACTTTTTGTAATGTAGCAGTACATTGACAGGGAGCTTGCAGAAATTCAAGCTGGATTCAGAAAAGGGCATGGAATGAGGGATATCTGTGCTGATGTCTGAAGGATGTTGGCTGAAAACAAAGAAAACCAGAAAGATATTTGTTTGTATTCCATTGACTATTCAAAGGCATTTGATCATACCAAACTATGAATAACATTGCGAAGATTGGGAATTTCAGAACACTTCTTTTACTCATGCAGAACTTGTACACAAGAAGCAATTATTATCAAACAGAATAAGGAAAGAATACATGGGTTAAGATCAGGAAAGGTGTGTACCAGGTGGTATTCTTTCATGATATTATTCAATGTATGTTGAGTAAACAATCTGAGAAGCTGGGCTATAAGACGAAGAACATGATATCAAGCTTGGAGGAAGACTCATTAGCAACCTTTGATACACAGATGGCACAAGCTTGCTTGCTGAAAACCAAGAGGACTTGAAATATTGCGGCTAGAGATCAAAGATTGAAGCTTCGGTATGGATCACCACTCAGTGTAAAGAAAATCAAAATCCTCACAACTGGACAACTAGACAACATCGTTGTAAATGCAGAAAATATTGAAGTTTCCAAGGGTCCTCTTTTACTTACATCCATAATCAATGCTCATAGAAAGAGCAGTCAAGAAATGAAATGGCATACTGCATTGGGTCAATCAGCTATACAAGATGTATTTAAAATGCTAGTGAACAAAAATGGTGCTTTCAGGACTACCGTGAACCTGACTTGAGCCATGGTATTTCCATTTGATAAGCGTCCAGCATGGGAACGGTGGACACTGATAAGAAAGACTGGGAGAACTGACACATTGAACTTAGAGTTTGGCCAAGAACACTGCGAGTCCCATGGACGGCCAGAAGAACAACGAAACTTCTTTGGAAGACAAGCCAGAATGCTCCTTAGCAGTAAAGATGGTGAGACTCTGTCTCACAACTTTGGACACGTGGTCAGGAGAGACTAGCCCTTGAGAGGCATGTCATCGAGAAAAGACGACACCCTCGGTGAGATGCATTGACACAGGGCGGCCACAAGGCCTGGCAACAGTTCTGAGGACTGGGCAGTGTTCCTTCCGCAGTACCTACAGAGCTTGAACAGCACCAAAGAACAACAACTTCAATTCAGGTTTTCCCCCGACTTAACTGTATACATGTTATGCCATGCCTTTCTCAGTCCTGAAAACGATTTACAGTAATGTCAAATGACGTACGATGAAGTCTCTTGTGACTCACACATCTGAGGCCTGAAGGAGGGAAAAATTAGAGGCAACCATGTCTTCTGCTTCTCATGCCAACAAAAGCAGAGCCCTGACTGAGTTCGTCCAGGAAAAGGCCGCTGTTTAACGCTGTCCGTTTTCAGCCAATTACTGTAACAGTGTAATGACATGGCGTGCCTCCTGGAAGCTGCCTTTTCTTACCAAGAGTGAGAAAATTAATATGACAGAAGCACGGAGAGGAGGGATTGCAGTGTTCCTAAAGCCCTGGGCTGACCGTGGAGGGACCAACACTCAAGGAGGTTGATGTTTAGCTGTATGTGAGGAATTCGTTTAAAAGAGCTTCCAGAGGGTAATGTAGGTCAGCCAATTCACATCGGGACTGAATGTCATTACCATCTGACAGATGTTCAGTCCTCGGAATGAAATGAGTTGGTCTCATTCCAGTTTCCAGAGAACAGGTGTGTACCTCACCCAACGGAAGGAGGGCACTCTCTGTTCAGGTTGGCACTAATTAACATCTCTGCTGGCAGGCACAACAGAAAGGTGGAGAGTTCAATGGCTGTGGGAGGAGCAAACTCTACTTTTAGGAAAGGATTTGGTGAATTCAATCACATAAAAGGAGTTACTAAAATCAATGCAGTGCTGCTTGGTATTTTAAATAAGCTACTGCTTTTACTGGAGTAAACTCCCTCAAGTCTGGGAACAATGTGAAGGCTGGTGGTACAGAACCCGTTCTGTTGTGTAGAGACAGGGCCACTCTGGATCCAGCAGACTGAATGGCACCTAACGATACAACGGTGCTTTGATTTGAAAGTTTAAACCAGAGGAAGGAGATTGCCTTAGTTTCCTAGTGCTGCTAAAACAGAAATATCAACAGTGGTGGCTTTTTCAAAAAACCTACCAACCAGAAATTTGTTTTCTCACAGGTTAGGGGTCTGGAGGTGCAAAGTTGGGCCCCCAGCGACCGGGGAAGGCTCTCTTCTCGACTCCTCATCCCAGCCTCCTCCTTCCTCAATCCCTGTTGACATCTCCCATGTGTTTTGATGAGGAGACTTCCAAAATTTGTAGAAATATGGAAAGGAAAGTCCATGGGATTTTCCCACAAACTGGGCAGCACCCTCGTAATTTCCCCGCTTTCTGTTCCTTCCGCCCCGTGTCTGGGCTATACTGTACAGCTCAGCAGGCCCAAGACCCACCCTCCACGGGGAAGCCTTGTCAGCCAAACTAAGAAAACCACATTCTCCATGGATGACAGCCACTGCCACCGAGTCAATTCCTACTCACAGCGACTCCACAGAACCGCTCCTTAGAGTTTCCAGGACTGTCACTGTTTAAGGGAGCAGACAACCTCCCCTTTCTCCATTGGAGTTGCAGGTGGGTTTGAACTGCCAACCATGCAGGTAGCAGCCCAATGCCTAGTCCATAGCACCCCAAGGGGTCCTATCCACAGGTTTAGAGGTTGGGATTCTAACTCATAAGAGGGATGGTCTAGCCATAACAAATACATACAGCGACCGTTCAGGGACTCTGCGGTTGCTGCTGTTAGGTGCCATCAAGTTGGTTCTGAATGAGAACAACCCTGTGGGCAACAACTTCTGAGGGGTTAGCCACTGGAACCTTAGGACTAGCAGAGGAACATGGTCAGACACTGGGTGGAAAGCTGAGTGGAAGGGGCTGAGTTCGCGCGGGGGTGGGGCTGGGGTGTTCATCACAACTCTGGGACATGCTTCTCCTGGGTGACTCCACCAACCCGTGGGATCTTCCCTGTTCTGCCGTGCCCCAGGTCCCGTGAGGATGCATCGAGTCTGATGCCGATGCTGAGAAAGCGCTGCAGTGGGCGAATTCCAAACCTGGAAGAGTATTTTAGGGTATCTCCTCGACCCTCAAGATGAAGTGGAAAGCTTTGTGTGGAATTAATGTCACCAGGAAAGCAAACGGCAATCAGTTCCACTTCTGCTCAAGCCCAAAGCATCAAAAGCCCTTCTTCAAGACACTAACTAGGAGAAGGTTCAGAAGAGACAGCAGCCTTTACCCACTCTTCCCGGCTGTTTGGCAGAAGTGCGTTTGCCTACTTTGGCTCAGCATCACACGGGAGTGACACCGGGACAAGTTCACCAGGCGGGGTTTTGCTCTCCATCTGAATGATGTTTCATGTCTGGTGGAGAAGACACTTTGCTTCTAAGATTCTCAGCTCTCAAAGATGAACTCCGGGACCTCACTCGATTTGTCACAGGTGAATGCAGCAAGCCACCAGGCAGCAGTTCCAGTGGAATCCACAAGGCACTGGGGTCTCAGAGGCTGGAGATGGTAATAGCAGTTTAAACAACAACAAGTCACCAGAGGATCGTAAATCATATCATCCGAAGTTGAGGGAGGGATTACAATCAGAGCCTAAATGGTGCAGATCTGGTTTGCAGAAGGCTATGGAGGACAGTGGGAGCCCAAGATACATTTGTGGGCACTCCCTAGGCTTCCGGTGAACGCCCCCATGCACTATTGAGGGATGGGAGGATAGTGGTTACTCAACAGAGTGCACTTCAGAGATGAGTATAGAAGATCAAAGGCAAAAATCTGACTTAAACAGTTAAAACCTTGTCGGTTGATCCCCACCCTCTGATTCATGCTGGACCTGATTTGGATTTTGACATTCTCTGTATTTTTCTTTTGTTTTGTTTTTGTTTGTTCATATGAGGATGTCATTGGGGTCACCCTCATGAAGTTGTGTTATGTTTTTCTGTGTTTTGGTACATGAAACCCAGGACTGATGAACTTATACGGACAGCAAATAGAATAAGGGTTTGAGGGCAGCGGGTAGTGGTGGGGGAAGGGTAAAAGGGTGGCAATGTCAAGGAGTCCACTTAGAAAAAGAACTTTTGGAAACAGACTGTAGTAGCAATTGCACAATTCTGATGGACGTGATTGAACTATGGAATGATATGATGTATTAAGTACCAATTAATAATGACTTTAAAAAATAGAACAAAACATTGCGGTTGAGTTGATTGTGACTCCCGGTGGTCCTTGTGCGTCTGAGCAGGACTGTGCCCCGTAAGGTGGCTGATTTCTCAGAAGTCGATCGAGCACCAGGCCTTTCTTCCTAGGTGGACTAGAAGTTCAACCTCTCAGTTAGCAGCTGAGCACCTAGCCATTCACATCCTCCAACCATGTCTCAACGGCTATTCACTGTTGTTATAGGAATCCCCAGATGCCACTTCAACTTCAGTTTGTATTTTGGAGTGAGATGAATACGGTTTGCTATCAGGTATAATTAATGAAATCCACAGAATAGTTTACTGGACATTGTTCATTAATAATTCCCAAGGACAACCTGAGGTCTGCCTTTGGCAGTTTACAATGCACATTTTTAAGTGGACAGGCATGCGTTTCTTCCACAAGAAGGTAAGATGTGACATTGCGAGCGAGCGCTAGACGCACAGGCGCACCAGGGAAACTCCGGACAGGTGGGACTCCCCTGCGGATGCAGGAGCCTTTGGGGGGTGGAGAGGTGTGCAACATGTTACCTTGAGATACTGCCACAGATGACGGAGCATGGCTCGGCGTTGTGCAAGTACCGAATGGCTCTGCATGTTCCGATTAATATCCCAGTTCGAACGTGCCAGGAGAGGGGGGTCGTCTGACCCTAAAGAGAGAGCAGCAGTTGGATTGGTGGCCTTTTCTAAGTTAAAACTTGCCTCTTGCATTCACTAGGCAGAAGTGTGTGCCAGACTATCCAGTTAGTGTAGCGAATCAACACTTCATTGTGCCACAACCCACTTTTTAATTCAAGGTAGAGTCTCTGCTCATTCCAGGAATGGCTCTAGGTCAGTTTAGAGACAAGAGAAATATCAAATAATTTAATATCTGGTTGATTAAAACATGGATAGGGAGGTAACCACGTTGAAATGTTTGTTAAATATGATTTTTAGATTACTTGTGGCCCAAGAGTGTGGGTCATAGAGGATAGCGAGTTTTTATTTGCATCCTATCAGAAACAATCTATTCAGAATTGACGTTTAAACTTAGCCTTCAAAAACATCCTCTCAAGGCTGACCATCTACAACGTCAACTATTTGGAGACGAGAAGAACCAGACGTTGTCCAGCTCCTACCACTGACTGATCTGACCAGTCACAAGAGATGGTCCCAGATAGAATAGGAGAAAAATGTAGAACAAAATTAAAAGTCTTTGAAAAGCCCAGACTAACCGGATCACCTGAGAACAGAGGTCCCTGACACAGTCACCTGAAGATACCTGTAACTCTTGAACCAAAGCTATCCCCTGAGATTACCTTTTAGTGAAATAACTGAGTGACCCACAAAATAAAGGCTATTACCTATTGGATGCATGTGTACCAAAAATCCATCTGTATGAGACCCACAGGTCAACACTGAATCCAAAGCAAAGATGAGAAGGGAAGGGGGAAGGGAAACGAGAGTACTGGAAATGGAACAAACTGAACATCATTAAAGAGAAGGCGACACATTATGAAAAATGTAGCTAATGTCAATGATGACTTGGTGTAGAAATTGCCAAATGGGAACCTGGCTTGCTGGGTAAACTTTCACCAAAAACATACCATAAAAAAAATTTTTTTAAGTAAGAAAGTGTGGAACTCTTCAATGCCCTGATCGCTCTCATCTTTATAACGAGCCCTGACGGGTCTGTTGGGTCAGTGTTGGGCTGCTAACCACAAAGGTCAGCAGTTCAAGGTCACCAGCCACTCTTCGGGAGAAAAGATGAGGCTATCTGCAACGATATACAGCCACACAAGCCCTGTGCTGGGTTTCTGTGAGTTGGACGTTATCCTATGTGTGTGTGTGTGTGTGTGTGGTGGGGGGGATCACATGTATGTTGAGAACAGTTATATAAATAAAAAGTATCTGAGAAATAAGAGTCATGATGGAAACGCATACTGAGTACTACCATCATTGCCACTCACAGCAGCCTCCCTGTAGGACCACGTGGAACTGCTCTTTAGGGTTTCCAAGACTTTAAATCTCTTTATACATTTTAGTAAATCATTTGATTGGGGCTCTTACAGCTCTTATAACAATCCATACGTCAGTTGTATCAGGCACATTTGTACATATGTTGCCATCATCATTTCCAAAACATTTTCTTTCTGCTTGAGCTTTTGGTATCAGCTCTTCTTTCCCCACCCCCTCTCCCCCCCACTCTCACCCTCGTGAACCCTTCATAATTTATAAATTATTTTTATTTTCATAGCTTACACCATCTGCGGTCTCCCTCCATCCATGTTTCCGTTGTTCATCCCCCTGGCAGTGTGTGTGTGTGTGTGTGTGTGTGTGTGTGTGTGTGTGTGTGTGATGTTGATCATTATGATCAGTCTGCCCCCCCCCCCCAACCTTGCCCCTACTCTCATGGTATCGCTACTTTCATTATTGGTCCTGAGGGGTTTATCTGTCCTGGATTGTGTGTGCCGAGAGCTCTTATCTATATCAGTGTACATCCTGTGGTCTAGCCGGATTTGTAGGATAGAACTGGGGTAATGATAGTGAGGGGAAGGAAGCATTAAGGAACTAGAGGAAAGTTGTATATTTTGTTGGTACTATACTGCACCCTGACTGGCTTATCCCTTTCTTGTGACCCTTCTATGAGGGGATGTCCAATTGTCTACAGATGGGCTTTGTGTCTCCATTCTGAGCCCCTGGTTCACATCAAAATTGTTTGTTTTGGGTCTTCTGATGCCTGATACCTGATCCTGTCAATACCTCGTGATCACACAGGTTGATGTGCCTCTTCCATGTGAGCTTTATTGCTTCCCTGCTAGATGGCCACTTATTTAACTTCAAACCTTTAAGACCCCAGATGCTGTAACTTGAAATAGCCTGGCACCAACAGCTTTCTTCAACACATGAGCTTATGCATCCATTTGTCTTCAGTGATCATGTCGGAAAGGTGAGCACCACAGAATTCCAGGTTGTTAGAACAAAGTGTTCTTGGGTTGAGGGAGGACTTGAGTAGAGGCCCAATGTCTGTCTGCTATCTTAATACCTAACCTATAAATATATGTACATAGACCTATAACGCTATCATTATATATTAATATATTTACATCTGTGCATGCCTATGTTTATACCTCTATAAATGTCATTTGCCTCCGAGTTCTGTCTTCTATTTCCTTTTAATTTCTTCCTGTCCCACTATTGTGTTCAACCTTCATTTGGCTTTCTGTACTTTCGGATACATTATATTTGATTGAACCCCACCAGGCATTCTATGCCCTCTTGGCCATTGGTTTTAGATCTCTTGTTGTTCCCATGTCCCTGGGTTTGTTTTGCTCCCTCCTCATTTTCCTCCACCTCCTCCTCTCCCCTGACCCCCAGAACCCAAGCCTTGGTCCCATTGTTTTCTCCTCGGGATTGTTTATACTGACTATCTTATATAGGTAGACATGAAAAAAATGAATGTTTATAATGAATGTTTTCTGATCGGCTCTGATGCAGTACCAAGCCCTGCCCGTCC